TGTCCACTAGCCCAGGGCAAGATAGAAGACATTATTCAGTTTCCATCCACAAGCATTCTTGCAGTACAACAGACTAAGGTACACACACATTTAAAAATACTGTTTTTCAGCTTGGCAACTTCACATTATTGGAAGGATGGATTTAAGAATGGTTGATCTTTTTTCCAGGTTCCTCAAAATGAAGTCACAGCTTGTTGGGTCAAAACAGGAGTATTTTTTTTTAATTACCAAAGACAATTACTCACAGATTCCTTGTTTCATCTGAGTTTAGTTACAATCTTCACAATAAAGGAGAAGGGGTACATTATCCTACCATTGGCATATTGTTCTAAGCTGTTTGTTGTGTAAAGTATTTTAATCTCGAATGGGGAATTAAAATGCCTTACTTTAAAAAAAAATAACATTTGTTCCTGATGAAATGTTTCTCCTTGGTTTGGAGAAGCTCCTGGAAAATCTTCAGTTGGTGGCTTTATGTTGTTTGGGGTCATGTTGCAACTCCTCCTTTTCGTTGTGTCTCTGGGCCAAAGACCATCATGCCCAGGTGCTGTTGTTGTTGTTGTTGTTGTTGTGTGCCTTCAAGTAATTTCCAACTTATGATGACTCTAAGGTGAACCCTACATACTTGTACATTCAACCTAGATAATGAGGAAATCTGAATAGTTAAAGATTTCCCATGCCTTGGATCCAACACTGATCAGAAGAGAGACTGCAATCAAGAAATCAGAAGAAGATTAGGAATGAGAAGGGCAGCTATGAAAGAACTAGACAGGATCCTAAAGTAAAAAGATATACAGCTGAACACTAAAGTTAGAATCATCCAAGCCACTGTATTCCCCATTACCATGTATAGATATGACAGCAGAACAGTGAAGAAAGCATATAGGGGAAAAAATAATTCATTTGAGATGTGGTGCTGGAGAAGAGTGCTGAGGATACTGTGGATGGTCAAAAAGGCAAACAATTGGGTCCTAGAAGAAACCAAGCTTGAAGCCAAGTTAACTAAATTGAGGCTGTTGTACTTCAGCAACATCATGAGAAGGCATGATTCATTAGAAAAGACAATGATGCCTGGGAAGGTAGAGGGCAGTAGAAAGAGAGGAAGACCATATGCCAGATGGATATTCAAACAGGGAGACCATTTGCCTGAGCCTACAGGACCTGAGCAGAGAGGTAGAGAATAGGAGGGCTGGGAGACATCTCATTCATAGGGTCACCATGAGCCAAGGTAGACTCAAAGGCAGTTAACAACAAAGGTGAACCTATCACTGGGTTTTCTGGAATTGCCCAAGGTCACACAGTGGATTTCCATGCCAAGCTGGGAATTGAACCTTGATCTCCAGAGTCCTAGTTTAACATTTAAACCACTATACCACACTGTCTCTCCATGCCCATTTACCAACTCCCTATTCAAGGTTTGTCTGCTGATCCAAATTAATTGGGAATTAAGGTCTGTATGCCTAGACTTCTGTGCCTGAGCACACAGAAATCAAAGGCTACTGCCTGTGTGTTTGGACTCTAGGGTCCTGTCATGACGGGTGCCTGCATTTCAACATCTACCACTACCCCTCAAAGCTGTATCACTCTTGAAAGAATACAAAAAGAAGAAGTAGTTCTCAAAAGTGGCAACAATGATCATTTATTACAGTCCAATGTGTTTTAAGTCCCTTCTTCAGGAACAATCAGTAAAGTTCTATAAATAGGCTAAGCAGGTCAGAGCAATGTGGCAATCCCATCAGGGGAACTCGTTGTATTACAATTTTATTTTATTTTTATTGTTGGCACTTTTGAGAACTTTCTTTCTTTCTTGCATTCTTCCTGGCTTTGCCTTCTCCCTTCTGGTTTTTGTCTACTGATCTTGGCAGCCACTTAACATCCATGGCATCTGCTCTAGCACTCCTAAATGGGTTATTTAGGCACTTTTCTTCTGCTGAGCAATGCAGTTAATACATCTGCTCTCCTTATTTTTAAAAATAAACTAGTACCTGCTTTAAAAGGGCTATTATGAGGCTAAATCAAGATGTATTCCAAGCTTGTAAAGCCAAGGATGGGGATTATGTGACCCTCCAAAGGTTATTGGGACACATTTCCTATCACCCATAACATTGTCAGTTCCACTTAAGACTGATGGGAGCTGCAGACCAATATCCTCTCAAGTATTACATTGTGCCTACCTATGCAGCTTATTTTTAAATGTAGTATTAAATGTAGTATTAAATCACACTATCACACTATGTAGTATTAAATCACACTATCAACAGCAATCTTTACTTTTTCAAGAAGTTTTTCGTGGATCTGTTTCTTACAAAGTTATTATAAAATCAAAGTTACTCTTACAGAGTTATTAAGATTTCCAAATAAAAGTATAACAATCAAAGAGAAGGTTATTTAAAAAAGCCAACCATATGTTTATATTGAGTTTACAGTCTACTTGTAAATGTTCATTCCCCATTCATTGCCATGCCAATCTTTTCTCCAATATTTTATCACTGGTATCCAGTCTTTTTCTACTTCTTTTCACGACTTATTATTTAGTCTGCATGTAGTCTAATTCAATCATATCCGGTAGTTTTATTAGCCACTCTTCGATTGATGGTATTGTTTTAAGCAATCCTGTTCTGAACTAGAAAGCTACAGGTCTCCAATCATCCTCTACTGTAAATTCTGCTCAATGGGAACAATAAATCTACACTATAAACCACTTTTTGGTCACTTGTTCGAAGAAAGGTGGGAAAAGAAACAAATAAGGCATGTGATTTCTTGGAGATAGTGTCTAAGAAAAGGTAAAATTTCACAGAATGTATAGGCATAGAATTAAAATTACCTTTTTGCCAGAAGCCAGGAGTAAGGCTAAAAGCTGCAGACCAGTATTAAAAGCCATCACAACTGTCCGCTCTGCATGCAAACAGCATGCTTATAATGAAATTCTTGTTTTAACAGAGATTCAAACAATTTTTAATAATGTTCATTTGTTTATTAGGAAAGGCGTTATTAGGAAAGTGCACAAGTAGCGTACCAGAATCACTGTAGGTTTCATAGCATTATTACATATAACTTTGTAACAGAAATCTGCATACTCTGAAGTAGGGTAGGGACATAGTCTTAATTTAAGACAGAAAGAAAAATATGTTTTGCCTGTAGTTTATACTGTATTTTTACAAGGCCAGAGTTCACATGTAATACAATTACATTTCTCCTTCTCTGACGTCATGTAAAATAAGTCAGTCTTCCAGAGAGATATTAATCTTACTTGTCTCTGAACCATTCTGGAAATGCAATCCCATCATCCGACTTGTTCTTACATTTCTCCAACATAGCACTGCTGTGTTGCATTTTTAAAAGCCACTGCATAATACCACTAAAGAAACAGGAACTGATGAGAGAAAGAATTTGAGATCGCTTCAGTAATACAATGATGGTCTCAGTGGTTTTTGGCAGACCAAGCCTAAGCTCTTACCTGCAGCAATAACCATATATACTCATGTATACATCGAGAAATTTAGGTCAAAAAATTTGACCCACAAAACTGGGTTGACTTATACATGGGTCAATATGGTAATTGACTTGAGCCTCTCCCCTGCCAGGCTGCCTCTGCAAGGGACAGGTTGGCTGGGGAGAGGCTATGAATGGTGGCCGATCAAAGCAGCTTCATTTATATACTGCTTCATAGCGTGCTATGGGGTGTCTAAGCGGTTTACAACTGTAAGCTCAATGCCCCCCAACAGTTGGGTACTCATTTTAGTGACCTTGGAAGGACGAGGCCTGAGTCTAGCCTGAGCCCTGGCTAGTATTGAACTCGCAACCTTGTGGTCTATGAGTGAGTGGCTGTACTACAGGCATTTAACCATTGTGCCACCAGGGCTCTATATCACCCTGCAGCTTCTCCCTAACTAGGCTCCCTCCCCAGGAGAAAACCCAGCCGCAGAGAGGCTGGAAAGGGTGGGCAATCACCCTGTAGCCTTTCCACAAGTCTCCAGAAGTCTGACCTTCAACTTATCCATGGGTCATACCAAAATCCATACTTTTTGCCCCAAAAGTTGACTTTGACTTATACACCAGGTCAACTTATAGGTGAGTATATATGGTGGTCAAAGTGGATTTCAATAAAAAAATATGTAAATCACACATATTTAACAATTCTCAAAAGAAATCCATAGAGATTGGGACAAGTAATGCTACCTTCCAGTTGGTTTTTAACAACTGATTTTTAAATATAGTGGGCCCTTGTTATCCTCTGGGCTTTGGTTCTAGGACACACACCCACCCCGTGGATACCAAAATCCATGGATGCTCAAGTCCCATTAAATATAAAGTCATAGTAAAATGGTGTCCCTTATATAAAAGGGCAAAACCAAGGTTTGGCTATAGGAATTTGTATATTTTTAAAATAATTTTCAAGCTGTGGATGCTTGAATCCATAGATAAAAAAATCTGCGGATAAGGAGGGCTGACTGTGTCTTCAAAATCCACTGGGCTAGCCTATTCTATAGCATTCCTAAAGCCTCCTCAGAGGAATAGGATTCCATGTGTCTTTGTACCATTCAACGAAGAGAGTGGACAAACCTCTGCTGGATAACTGAGCACAAGCAAACTTCACCTTGGCTTTACCCTTCCATCTTCTAACAGATTACACCATGTTAAATTTACAGTTTCAAATACTAAGGCTGTAGATACAAACTTTCCCTGATGAAGAACGTGTAATAGATTTTGCTTTGAGACTACAGAAAAAAAACAACTTACCACTGGGTGATGTTGGGAAAGATGAGAAGGGACTGTACAGAGCAAACCAATATCAATAAACATCAAAAAATTGCATGTACAGAACAGAGATGTGAAAGCCAAGAGGAAATAAAATCAACAAAAATTGGAAGGAACAGGGTTTTTACCTCCAAAATTATTTTTCCTTTGGGAAAATTGAGAATTGCAAAAATTTGAGGGGAAATGGTTTGCTTTCTTTTAAAATCTTTAACTCCTTAAAAAATATTTCCAAAAACATGTTTAACAGAATGACTTTTATGTAAGACTATGCGTATTGCAATTCCTGGTCTTAGTTTCTTTTTCTCAGTTCTTTTTGTTGGCATGGGTTTCTTCTTCTTCTGTGTCTCCCTTTTTTTCGATTTTCTCTCTCTTAACTGGAAAAACCAACGAGATTTCTTACAGTTCAGGTTCATTATGACTCAATTTAAAACTTACAATTAAAAAAATGAAATTCAGTTTGTACTTATTGTCTGAATAAACTGTTCTTTTAATAAAGCAATCATAATTTTATGCCAAGCAAAATCATACATAATACATTTTGTTTTCCAAAAATAACAGCGACCTTCAAGCTGTAAAAGGGGGTTAATATGACATTTTTCAATTTTTGGAGAAAAAACCCACCAGCATCCCCCCCATAGATGTTTTTACATATTCAGTACAGTACACAAATTCTCTCATCTTTCAATTCAATGAATAAAGTCTTCTAGGCAGTGCTTTTATCCAGAGCCTTATTTAGTTTTCAGTGCAGCCCATGACATAAGGAGCTAAACCCAATTAATAATAATAATAATAATAATAATAATAATAATTTATTTATATCCTGCCCCTCTGCAGAGCAATCGGGGCGGCTTACAACATTAAAATTTACATAAAGATATGTTAATACAATGTAAACAGAACAATTGGTAGTCCCACCTAGAGTTTGTTATGTGCTTTCAAGTAGTTTCCAACTTATGGCAACCCTAAGACAAACCTATCAAAGGGGTTTCTGGGACTGTGAGTTGGTCTCCCATTGAGTTTCCATGACCCTGGTCTCCAAAGTTGTAGTCCAATGCTCAAACTACTACTTCATGCAGCCTCTCCTTATCTGGCGTAGACCCGGTGAAATAAATTAATAACAGTAAGTTCACTCTTATGCAAATCCTATTTATTTATTTATTGGTTTGTTTAATTTATATATCACTTTTCTCCTAGCAAGGGACCCATTGATTCAGTGAGTTTTACTCTACTAACAATAGAACCTAAGCAATAACAAAAAATTAACTATGGTTATAAACAACATGGCTATGACAAGCCACTGTTTCTCAAAGTTATTAAACCCTGACCCTTTTCCCACAGCAAAGCATACACAATCTTGGTACATATGTGAGGCATATATCTGGGTGCATAAGGATGCTTTCTCCAGGCACATCTTCCAGGTGTCCATATTGTGGATGGCTGTTAATGTTTACCACTCATTTAGACTTTTGCAATTTTTGATTCCCCTTGCCCTGGCATTAGATTTATTCACCCTCATGTACCACAATACAAAAAAAAAATGCCTTGTGAGTTGCAGGTATTACTTGTCCCCAGAAGTCAAATTTATTGAGGGTTTGCAATGTGATCAGGATTTAATGTAGTTGTA